ATACACCATGGTGTCCACCTAGTGCGCGTAAGTCCAATATCTAGGTTAATAAAGGATATAACTTATTTTTTTTTTCTACAGAGTTGCCTAGTTCCCCGAGCTACACAAAATGAAAATATATTTGCATATACAGGGTGTTCAGTATTTCCTGGGCAGGTACCAACTTAATGTTTTTAAATGGAAACCTATATTTTTTATGGCACTACCGAATTCTACGTGAAAAATTAACGGGACTTTGTGTCATGATCCCTATTAAAATATTGATAGTTTTCGAGATAATTTTCATTTTTTTTCTTATGTTTCGTCACTTCTAGTAGTTGACATAATTATGATTGTATGACAGCTAGAAATTATTTTCTTTCAGGAACTGTAGATTGAAGATGGCTCTTTCAAAAAACGTATCAAAAGTTGACCTGCGATATACAGGGGGCAAAAAAATCATGCCAAACCTGATAATTTAAAATTTGAAAAATATCGACTTTAGGTAGGTATTAAAGGCGTTACAGGAGCCAGAACAACAAACATCAAACAAATATTTTTATTGCACATAATACTTGTGTGATAACTGTTTTTTTACCACAGTTTCGAGAGTGAACCGAACACAACTCAAACTCTGTCTCAGTTCTAAAGTGTAATGTTTTTAATGGCCCGTCTCTAATTTTTTTTAAAACCCCCCCGCATCCAGATACATCGCGATATTGAAAACGAGTCCGTAATGATTGCAATTAAGCCCGCGTAGCTTGATGCAGCGCCTTTGAGAGCGTCCCCGTCGGCGTTTTAGCATAATTTGAAGCGGGGTCGCGTCGCCTAACCCAAAGATAAAATTTCGTTACAAACTGATGCCATTATCAGATTGTAATTAAAACATAGAGCACGTAGGGCAGGGTAATTGGCTAATTCTGTCGGCCCCATTGTATAACAGAGGGCAACCGCATAGCAAATCACCCCCTGTTCGTTATCTCCGCACGGAGGGGTTAGCTCCAAGGGCGCGGGCGCGCGGGGTTGGGCTCATTTACTGGTTTAGTGAAAACTGAAGTTTATTTTTGCATGTTGAATTCTATTTTTGACAATACCATTCAAGGTGTGCTGTATATTTTGTATATAAGGCCTGTCAGAACATGCCTCATTCATTATACATAATTCAATTCAAATTAAAAGAATTACTTCTTAAATACACCGCCCTGTATAATAATTCGTAGGTATATTGTATAATTAAGTCATTTATATAGTTACAGTAAGTTTTAGTACTTCGGAAAGTGGGAAGTAAAATTTTGTGAATGAGACGACCTTGTAGATTTGCACCTTGGACTTTCTGTCCCCGGTATTTCAGAATCCCGTCAAATTAGGCTAATTACAGGCCGACATATCGGGCGACTGCCAAGTTCGGCGTCGTTACGGTCGGGAGTATGTACTCCATTTGTAAATGTTATTGCTTTGAGTCTGGAAGTATCCAAAACTTCCCACTTAAATTTCCTGTAATTCACGAAATTTCGCAGTAAAAGCAAATGCTCTTTTGAAACTCGTCTCCTTACCCGACTCAATCAAAAATTCATTTTATTAAGACGCATGAAAGTTGCGAGACTACTTAATTTTATTAACGCTGTATAAAAGATGAGGGATATTCGCATAACATTACTCCTCCTCTCCCCCCTATCTTATTTGTTTTTCTAAGAACTATAAAGAGCAAGTTATAGCGAAAAAAACTATTAAATGGTGTTTTTCGGAGATATAAACCAATTTTTCGTTGTTTTTGTCGTTTTTTCAATTATTTTTTTTATAGTTTGCACAATAATTTGGTGTATGGTCCTGCACATAATTAAAATTGCCATAGAATTAGTGAATGTTTTCTTTGTGAAATTCACTAACTTTAAATTCTTTTTTAAGAAAAAAAATGCTTATTTTAATAGTTATACAGGATGTTCCTTAAAGACATGCAAATATTTAAGGGTGTGATTCTACATGGAAAATAACGGGTTTTATTGTTTTACTCAAAAACGGTGCTTCTCAGGAAAAAAACTCAAGAGAGATTTTATTTTTCGAATTGAACTGGGATTTCAAAAATAATTTTATTTGGAAAATTTTTCGGCGTATCATTTTTTTTCTTTAAAAATATCAGTCAGTGCCCGTACGCATGCCACTGTTAGAGCTAAAAATTTTGCTTGTATTGAAAAACATGCCCGTTTATTAACTATCACTACGTACTAAATATCACTGAAATATCTCAAGCGGTTTCGAAACTATTAATTAATTTCCTTCTTTTTTTCTAAAATTTTAACACCCTGTATTTTCGCAACGGAACGTTTTTGGACCATAGTTTATAAAACAAACTATCATTAATTTTCCATGTAGAATCACACGCTTAAATATTTGTATATCATTAAGGAACACCCTGTAGTTTGTTTTAGACCAAATGACATACATTCTAAGTATTTTTTTAAACTAAGTTTGTTCAATATTTTCAGTATAAATTAGGACTTCCTGTCCATCGTAAAATTATTCCTTTATAAGAACAATTTATTTAAAAAAAAGTCCTTTCTCTAGAACAAAATGTATTAACTTGGGATAAGCAGGATGTCATTTTCGCTTCGAATGGAAATAAAACTTTGGATTCAATAACAATAAATTTTAATAAGATCCATTCAGAAATATCGAGAAATATCAGTACAGTGTTTTCCCTAGATTAAAGGGACTTTAACAGATCTTTGGTCTGCCAGATACAAAACAACGAATCCAATAAAACTCTTGCTGGAAACTAACAGATCGTCTAAACCTAGAAAAAAAGCCGTTAAAGCCCTCAGTGCTTGCACAACAACGATACAGAGCTGTCTTGGAGCACCCTTAGCGTAAATTTAAATCAAAAAATCTTTACATTGAAACAATACGGCTATTTTTACACTTACTGCCTTAAATCTACGTTAAACTCTACCGCTAAGCCTAAGTTCTAACTACGCTGGTTGTCATTCAGTCACCCATGCACTGATAACATTTTAAACTATTAGAACTTTACAAAACAAACCGACTGCATGTTTATAAAAAACATTAAAAAATCTAACACGTACGACTAGGTGGTAGCGCCCAATCTGGATTGGTCACGAGACACAGGACACAGCAGATAGATGTTATAAGCAAAATTCTCAGTTTCGCAAAAGTGGTCGACAGTTTAGACCAATCTAGTGTGCATATTTTTAGTTTTCAAATCTATCTACTGTGTTTATGGAAGATAGCAATACCTTAACATATTCGTAAGAAACAAAATCGAAATGAACGAATTAATACAGAAAGAAGCACTTACGAAGAGAGTGGGGATTTCTCCCAGAAACTACAGGCACCTTAGCGGAAAAAACGACAAGATTTACTACATTCGATGTGGAGTAAATTCGCCTGATATTGGTCAACGGAAAGGTGTATACAGGGTGTATCTCGCGACACGCACAGTCCCTCTGTCGGATAATCGTCGCGAGATACGTCATGTCAGGATTATTGCTTGTAATGCTATATCTACGACACTAGAAGCTTTTTATACAATGTGTAACCTAAAAAATTATACATCAGTAGAATAGACATGCAATGTTTCCTTCCTTCTGCTTTAAATTATATTGGATTTTATAGTACTTTTCAAAATTTCCTGTTAAAAAATTCAAGTACAGGGTCATCTCAAATAAATGGTGAATATAATGAAAAAACAGTACGTACTTGTAAAAAAAAACCTTCCGATTTGGTATTGAACTCGAAACTTTAATTTTATTCCGTCATGTTATGTAATCAATTTCTCATAGGCTACAAATATATTTTAAAGTATAGGGAACTATGCACAAACTTGGAGGGAATTTTGGGAGATTATACATTACAATGTTTATCTACAAGATGAGCAATTTTTCTGGTTCCCTAACGTATATTATATATTAATGGCGAAACTCAGACGTATAGATATACATATCTTTGCACAATTATCGTATTACATTATACTGGAAAATTGACACTAGAGTCGTAACAGAGCTAAGTCCAATAAAATCCAATGTACAAAATCGGGTAAGTGAGGCGGGCTACTCGGTGAAGGGCAGCTACTTCAGCTACAATTTTTTTGCTACGAAAAATCACGCACATAAATTATAACATAATTTTTTTAGCCATTTTATTTAACCCCAAAAGATTGTTAATATTTCAAAAATATACATTTTTTCACGAATAATTTTATAATGGATTGGAACGTTTCGTCTCGGTGCGTGAATTTACGCAGACTGAAATAAAATTTATCCCATATCAACCACCTTAGGAGCTATATTGTAAGATACATATCGCTAAAGTGTAATCTAACGTCTATATAATGTCTTATAGTCTAGCCCTAAGTTTAGTTTGGTCGAAATTCCGACCTATCACGAGTTAACAAATGAATCATTCGATTCTGATATGTATGTGATCTTAGTTGATATATTAAATATATAGAAAAGGGCAAAGGAATGGTAAAAAATAAAATCTATGTTCACAACTATATGGCAACGCAAATAATCAACCTAGGACACGATGTCTAGCATGAGATATAGATTTAGATTTTTAGAACCAAATTGCGCTTATTTTTGTGCGAATCTATTTCGACGACGCGATGTTCTTAGGAATAGTCGTGATCATTATTTCTTAGGAAAAAGTTCTCTCATACTAGCCATCGTTTCATTTACTTTCTGGATTAGATGACAACGATTTTTGGGTATTTTTTTCTACTTCTTCGAAACAATTATAATGGAAAATTAATTGCATTGTTGAAATAAAGGTAATGCTTACTGTTAAGTTGAAGATACAGGAGAAATCATTTTCTAGATGCAAAACACATTGTCATCTGAACCAATTGCACGAAACCCAGCTCGGAAAACTTACCTACCTACCTACAAACCTTAACTAACACTAGATATATCAGCCGATATGTACAGTAAGAGGAACAATCGGTATGATATGTACACAATACATGAACTGAATGAACACTAAACACAAATTTACAATGTACACATTTAGAACCCCTGTCTGAAGGGATTTCCCCCCGTTGCCTGCACCTGCGGCCTGAAAGGATTCGCAGTTTCCGGTTGCTGAGGAAGTACCCGACCTGGGGGCCGCGATGGCGGCTGCTGCTGCTGCTGGGGTTGATGGGGTGCCTCCTGGTAAGGCTGATGCTGATACGTATCTTGTTGGTAACCCTGATGCGAATAGTTCTGCTGTTGGTATCCCTGCTGGTCGTAGTTTTGCTCCTGGTAGCCAGAATCAAAGTTGGTCTCTTGTTGTTTGTACTCCAAGTGGTTTTGAATGTCTCCTGATACGGGTTTCTGTTCCTGCATGGAGTAAGTTTGATATTCCTTGTTGGGAGGATCCGACATGAGGATGTTGGCTTCGTTCTCGAACGGCTTGAAGTCGTATATGTGCCTCAAGTACATCAGCATCGGCGCGTAGAGGAGATTCGAGAAGGCGATGCCTACGTTGAGGGCGGTAAACCCTATAGCTTCCACCACACCCCCGGCAATGATAGGCCCTACCGCGTACGCCACCGAATAGGAAATGTCTGCTATGGCGTAGATGCTTCCGTACACAGAAACATACCTTACGTCCACCAGGTACCCGAGGGTAGGGAGTAGAGCTGTGTCGATAAGGGCGATGCCGAAGCAGATGCCGCAGATGGGGATCATGAGGAACTTGTAGGAATTTGCGAAGGGTATTATGAAGCAGCACAGCCCTTCCAAGGCCAGCCCTACGGCCGCCATAAGCCATTGATAGTGAGGATACTTCTTCGCCATTTTTACCGTTAAGATGACGCCAAGCACGTGAGGAAAGAAGGCCGGCAGCCAAATGATGCCCACCTTCCAGTTCTCCGTGGTGAGGTTGTCTTCTACCCAAAGAGATATGGTGGGCTCTAGAAAAGCCAAGGCGACGTTGGACATCATCAGAGCGCCAGCGCAGATCGCTATGTATTTGTCCATGAAGAGTCTCCAGATGGGTACGGACGGCGGCTTGGCCATCTGCTGCTCTTTTATCTGTTCCTTGATGGGCTTCATCACCAGCAGCAGCATGAACCCATCCAGCAGGGAAACGAACGCTAGGATGAGGAAAGGCATCTCCTTGCCCGCGAACTGATAGAGAGCCCCTCCGAAAGGCGGGGCCACCAGACAGCCGAAGCTGATGAACGCCAGGGCTATCCCCAGCGCCTTGGACCTCTCGTTCTCCTCTGTGAAACGATCTGCGATCATGGCGAGTCCGGCAGTGTCTGCGAATGCCGAGCCTACGCCTTGGAGGCTTCTCGCGAAGAAGAGGAGGCCGTAGCTGCGGCCACACGCGAACACCGCCGTCGAGAGGAACATGATCGACAGGCCGATCATCATGGGCATGTCGTAGCCGATGCGGTCGATGAGCGCTCCGGAGAAGGGGTTCACCATCAGCTGGACGATGGCCTTGGATGCGAATAGGATGCCGGTAGCCGAGTCCTGGCCGTGGTGGTCGTGTTTGATAGGGGTACCTGGTGGAAGCGTCGCGTTTCCCGAAGCCGGAACGTCGATATCTTGATACGCTCCGATGTACCGCAAATAATCGGGGATGATGGGGACTATCACCATGTAGAGCATGTTGTCGAGTAGCAGGGCTATGGAGACGATAACGAGGATGAGCTTGCGCTGGTTGCGGGGCTCTTGGAGCTTGGTCCACACCACCTCCTTGAACTCGCCGAACTCCATGTTGATGATGGGTATGGTCGTCATGGCGGCGAATGACCAGCAGGCTCGCAGGGGGTTGCGCGGAGTCGTGGTGGTGAGAGTTTAGTCGGTGTCGACGTCGGGTGCGGGGTAGCGCAGTGCCATCGGGTTAACCTGGACAGAAGAAGTGTGTTAGAAGATTCTGCGTGGGGTGTAGAGGGTGGGGAGGCACTGCGCTGATCCCCCCGCACCCCGAGCTTGCCAGCACAGGTCCCTGGCTCAAAACGAGTTGAGGGGATTCGCGTGGTAAGCATCCGCAAACGCCACTTTTTTGTGGCAGTACCGTGATTTTTTAGGTTGTTATACCGTAGTTAGAAGTCTGAGGAGCGGTTACGTCCGTAGAGGCTTACAGGTTCTGCTAACGAGTCCACAGAGCCTAGCTCGAGAACAACAACGGCAGGTCGAACATTCCTATCTGAGAGGCTGGGAAAATTCATTATAAGTGTGTAACTCGCGCCGACCCGCTACCTAGACTACGGGATAACAACCTAAAAAACCATTATACTTTAAATTCTTTGTTGTGACATTTATATTCATCGACGTGACTAGAATTAAATTGTTGCGGTAGAGAGTTAAAATTGTTACTTATTCCTTAGAAACATTTCTGTTGGTATCTGAATAGTACAAGAGTTAAAATAAAGTTCATATAGACACAGTAATTGTATACAAATTTAGCACAATGGATGTTCAATCAGGATTTAGACAGTATTAGTAAATCCGTATTATTGAATTGAAAATATTTCTTGAATTGAAATATTTTTATTTGATATGAGGCGAAATTATTCGAGTTACGCAATAATTTTATTGATTTCAGCCATCTTGATTATACATGCAGTTGGTGGCCATCTTGTTTCCACAAGTATTATAATCGTTTGCGCTCCGACTTCAGGTAAATCAATAGTACCCCGACCGACCTGCACTAATTGAAACACAACAACATATTTTTAGAACACGGTCATAGGGAACGCAAAAGAATCTTTTTAGACGAACGAGAGCATATTTATATGCTTACAAAACAATAATTAACCAATTATTATCTAAGATCTGTCGACAAAGTCGATGAATTGTTGAACTGTGGCTGTTGGTTTTTTCGAAAGGGAAACGAAAATTTTCTCTCTTATTTTTGAGAATAAAAAGTCATCATGGTAGCTGAATATTACTTTTAAAAAGTTAAATTTAATTGAATCTAGGCGTCAAATTTGCTGTTTTTTCGGAGGAGAACTAACAGAAACCACGTCACACCGTTCGTCTAAATCTAAGTGGAGGACTCACCTGTATCTGGTAAAGCACCACCTATGCGGTTGGCGAAGAAGCCCTTGAGGTTGGTGGCGACGCGCAGTTCGCCGAGCAGGCCTAGAGTGCCTCTCGGGCCCGCTTGCCCACCGTGTGTCTCCACGGTGCCGCTGTCCAGGTGCACACAGGTTTCTCGTTCACACCCGCGGACGACTTACGACCGCTGCTGAGTCGCTTGAGAAGTTCTGGCGGCGGCGACGGGGCCGCGGATAAGCGGAGGCGGCGCCTGGGGGGCAGGCGCGCGGCGTCGCGGCGCCATTGGCGGTCGACGGGAAGGGCCGGCCCACCTGGGGGTCGGGGGTGAATTTATGGTTTTGCGTTAATTTCGGCGGGCTGTGGGAACTGTTGTATTTTGCTTTGGGAGTAGAGGGATATGGCTTTTGGAGGTCGTTCGGTGTGGATAAAAATACACATAATTAATATTAAAGTGTTAGTATAGGAATATTTCTTGTATAGATGTATATTTGTGGGAAAAAATAGGAGGAATTCTCATATAACTTGACTTCATAAACTGCATTTTTAATAAACGTAGGAGAAACACTGAAATTTGCTAGTTTATTGAAGTTTTGAATAAAAAAGACAATTTTTTATTCTCACGAATTTTTGAAATCTGTACAGACATCATCACGACAACTTTTTGCGAAGAATTTCACTGTGGACTAAAATTTTTTGTATTAAAATGCCTGTGGCATCTTTTTTTTCTACTTAATGGTGATTTATTTTGAAAAAGGTTCTTTGTGTTGCTAATATCACGTAATATTTCTCTACTTATATTAAGAAAGTCGTTCTTGGGTCACTTATTTAAAATTTTTTTGTCAGTTGATCACTTCGTTTTTTAATATTTCTATATTTATTTATTATTTTGTACATTTTTGTTTCCAACTTGATAAATGTAAATGTAAAAAACACGTTCAAAATCACTGAACAGCAAACTGTCCCAGGATATCCCGATATCTTCACACCTTCAAGTATAACAAGAAAAGCCGCAAAACTCCTGACACTTCCTCGTTACGTATTCCGGTCTTGTCTTGCTCTCGTTTACTTAAGCCTATGTCTTTGTTTTCGGGTAATCTTATCACGTAAAACAATCCATCAGCACGTATACCTATACAAGCTCTAAAATTTAGGGCCTATTACGTACCTAACGAGAAACGCTGGGGATAAGAGGTAATTGTTGAGTGACCACAAATTATTTTAAAAATTGGTGTCAGTTTTAATTAGCTCGTATTCTTATATACCCTTAACCTTTTTAACGTCCTTTGGAAACACGCGTAAACATTTTAAACACAATTTAACAGCGCATTGTGGTTACGCTTTAAACTGAGCTAATTCTATTCAAAATTAAACTAAGTACCATCTACGCCTCAAGCCACAAAGTGGACATAAATGGGAACTTGGATGTGCTAACTCGTGTTGCTGAATTTCGCAATAACTACTCATCAACTTTTTCTGTTTATGAAAATTATGACAGATATGTATTAAAGCGGCCAAAGTGAGAGGAGGTTAAGGAATGATGGAAGCCAGAGGTATTTCGTGAGGAATACCATCTAGCTGTGCGGCAATAATTTTAGCACCACGGCGTTCTGTTGAAACATCTGCAACACTTCTCACTGTTTCATACAATAATAAAATTAATGGATCTTTTAATGGCCTAGGAAACTCATAATTATTGTTGATTGGTAAATAATTACTGCCGGTAAATCTGAGTTGGGAAATTATGGGACGCCTGTCAATCAGTCTCTTTTATCTTAGATGTTGAAGATTCTAGCATTTACATAATAAGTTTCAAACTAAGACTTAAAAGAGAGGAACTGAAAAATCGTCGTCAACGTTAGTTTGTTTCTGTCATCAAATATCTTTGAAACGACATAATTATTTCAAGTTTGAATGGAGAATACATTAGCAATGATTAAAAAAACGATTAACTCAAAATTATTACGAGAGAGGAAATATTTTAAGGAGGTTCGATACCGAAAAAATAAATGGTAAGAAAGTTTTCAAAATCATTAAAATCTGTTAATAAATATGCCTTCTGCCTCGTGTAAAAATATCAGATCGATTGCCAATATGTTTTTTTTTTTGCTTATACACAGGCTTTTATGGGAGTTGGGAAAAAAACTTTAATCAAACGTGAATATTGCTCTTAAAAATGGTTAGGATCGGGAAAATAAAATTGTAATTAAATAATTAAATATTACTAAACATTTTAAAACAATAAAAATATGCACTTACAATGTAATTATTGAAATAATGGAATGAATATATAACGTTTTGACAAGTTTGAACAAACATCTGATCCAATGAAAGGAAATATGGCAACGCTTCGACTGAAGCGCTATATTTGAATAGCTCGATTATAGATTATAAAATTATTCCAGTCGAAAACATATGTAGTAAAAATTAATATTAAATAAATTTTTTGTGATCTAATGCAATATAATAGCAATCTGAAACAAAAATTGAAAGGATCTCTTTGCAAAATTAACAATATTGATGTTCTGTAATAATCTTCAATTTGACAAGGCGACGTCTCACTATCATACACTGAGCTTCTTGATTGTTATCATAAATAGATTCTCGGTTTGCACATTTTACTTTTTTCTCATTAATCCATATTATGTTTCATATGCATTTTATATTGCTTTTCCTTTGTATCTTGGATGTTCATCATGTTTACGAAATATGCGCAAAGTACAGTTGACAGTAATGACAGTTGACCCAACTTTTACCACTACGGCATGGCAATGGCACTGTTGCCAGATTTCATCCATAATTTTACGAGCTCTTAATAAATAAATAGACACTTTTATTCAAATAAAAAGTTAATTGCCGTGCATTAAACACGAAAAATATATGCAAGCTAATATGTGTTGTATAAATTTCATTCGTATATATTATATTTAGTTCGCTCAAATCAGTTTATGTATGGTTGGTACTACAACGAAACTACCGTGTATAAGCATAGGGTTCCCTCCCGCACCGCCTGTCCCGCAAGAGATGTATCGAAGCTCCTTAACAAACCATTCAACTTTAAGACAAAAAAAATAGAGAAAATTTTCAAGGTAGGGTGTACTTTTCATAGTTCTGTGAAACCAATTACTTGGTTTACTATGTCATAAAGTGACATCTATCTGGACGTATTGGCGTTTCAAAGTTATTTAGAAAACATTTTTTTGTCAGTTTTGATGCCCGTTAGCGGCTGAACGAAGCAACTTCAGTTAAATCCGCATATTTTGGTCGTAGGCAGCTTTGGTAACTCCATGTACACGGAATATTGGCTCACCCTATATAGCACACACGCAAAATACAAGCATTTATTATTTGTAGGCACATATAAATAGTTACACGATATTTTCATTGAAGTTTATTCTGTATAATGTTGATTTATCAGTATTTTTTTTAGCATGTATTAACAATGGATACATTCCATTAAAATTTTGGCTAATTTAGACAGGACGTCTTCATTGACGCACCCCTGCCCGTACATAGAACCGTTTCCACGCACCAGATCTAAATATAAGCCGAGCTCGACCTGCCCCGTCGCGTCACCCGAAAACTCCCTTTCCGACTCCGGCTCCTCAGATCAGAGGTCGACGTGTACGGCATACAGGGGTTGCACGGGGTGATCAAATATTCATGCAGCCACGGCTGGCGCTGTATCGACCCGGGGTGGCCGGCCACCCTCGCCCCCCCGGCTCGCACCAGGTGAACGCACAAAGCGGAGGGCTCCACGGTCTGCTGGAGGACACCTCATCCAGCCTAGGCTAACTGGTGCGCCGTTAAGTGGGCTGTCGCCGACGGGAGCGGTCCTTATTGTCCTTTAATGAGAAGTTTGGACGGAAAAAATACAGAAGGGGGTAGTTAAAATCTGCGATGAGGGAATTCAGATTGTATTTTTAGTTATTTGAAGTGGTTTTTATATACAAAATATATAAATGACTTGAAAAAACATGGTACATTGTGTATAATTACACGTTTGATTGTACATTTTCTTCTTGCGTTGTATTCTTACCTTTTGCGTTGTACTTTTATATTTTATAATGTATTATTCCTAGTAAAAGTATGACCTGATTTAGCTCGACCAATCAGATTAATTACCTACGCGATCACTCGGTGTGCTGTTACTGGGCTAGTTGTTCAGTGGGCACGTTTAGATTCATTTGCGGTGTAACAATATATGTAGATTTTAAGCGTTACAATACAAAATTAACATGTAGTTTAATATTCCAATAATTATTAAAAGTAAGGTAGAACTTTTGAAAATTCATTACCTGACATGTTTAAAACATTTTTTTATGCCACTACTCACATAACGCGAAACTGCAGACGAGCTGCTCCGTCCCGGTCCATTTCGTTCACCCCGCGGCGTTTTCTCCCGCCCGGGAAAGCCGGCCGATGAAAAAGAAATTAATCACAACGCTTACAATCCCTTAACTCGATTCCTTGGCCAAGATGAGCGCTCAATCTCGCATATAATCCCCTTAATTATGTCGGTAATCCGGAGAGTTGCGTCTGGATCGTTTGTATGCAGGGGCCGTGGTCCCGATATAGAAATGTGGCGACTAACCGCGGACCTGTTCGGGACGGCGGGGCCTCGGGGCACCGCGCTTCATTTGAATTTTCGATCACGAGGCTCTGCAGGGGGGTTTTTCTTTTTGGGGGAGCGTAATGGAAAGCCCCCGGGAAACGTTGCCTCGTCTTTTCGGGATTTGGTTCCGCCGAGGTTTTGTTATCGTCAGATACTTAATTTACGATTTATAAAGTACAATATTATTTTTTCTGTGTTAAGTATTAATGGGGCGAAAAGCGAAGGGAATTTTTTAGGTAATAAAGAATATTTGCCTCTAGAAGTACCTAAAAACGCGGAACATACAGTAGGTATCGCGACTTATTCCTCAGACCTAAAAAACAGTATGGAATAGCTTTTAATGTGGTGTAAGTAAAAGTGGTGTATTGAAATAAAAATTAAGAAAACATCTGAAAATTTAATACAAGACGTGAACAAGGAAATCTCCAA